TTTCAAGCAGGCTCCATGCTCTCAGCACAGAGCCCAGATCTCACAAACTGTGAGATCATGACCTGAGCCAAAATCAAGAGTCTGATGCTTAACCAACTGAGTCACCCAGGTGCCCCCCCCCCCGCTGTCTTTAAGTTTATTTATTTATTTTTGAGAGAGAGGTGGGGAGGAGGAGGAGGAGGAGGAGAGAGAGAGAGAGAGAGAGAGAAGGGAGAGATAATCTCAAGCAGGTTCCACACTGTCAGCACAGGCCCGGCCCAACATGGGGCTTGAAGTCACAAACCATGAGATCATGACCGGAGCAGAAATCAAGAGTTGGATGCTCAACCGACTGAGCCTCCCAGGCTCCCCAAATCACTTCATTTCTGAACCTCATTTTGCTTGCCTGTTGAGTAAAAATTACAACAATAAAGTAACTCGAGAGGGTTGTTTTAAGAATCAGACAGTGAGATATTAGGGGTGAAAATATGTCATTTATAAACTATAAAGCACTATACAAACATCATTACTATTCCTATTTAGTCCTTATTCAGAATTCCTGTGAGTGAAAGAACTAGAGAGATGTCCTCTGGCAGAGAATAAGATTTCTGGTGCTGGTGCCCAGGATTGTCTGCTCTCCTCCCCAGCACCCTCCCTGGCCCAGCCCTACCCCTAGCTGTGGGTTCAGCCAAGTAGGGAGTAGAGGAGGGCTGCGTCCCGGAATTGGAACACAGGGTGCCCTCTCTTCCTCTCTTGCACAATCAAGGCTGTGCAGAGTTCTTGGGACTACGGGAGAAGTGCATTTGGTGTGCCAGGTCAGCCACATTCAGGATTAGATAGACTTTTAGGGACTGCCCTGAGAACCTGATGACCCAAGATAACCTCATTTCTTTGGGCACCAGAATTGTGAGTTTTACACAACTGACTTTATAAATACACTTTGGAATATATATAGCCTATTCTAAAAGTGAGGACTACTTGTACAGAACCAAATTGAACTGCTTGAACTGTGGTGTGTACTTCCAAAAAGAATGTAAAGACACATAATAACTAGGACACCCTGGGTGGCTCAGTTGGTTAAGTGTCCAACTCTTGGTTTCAGCTCAGGTGATGATCTTATGGTTTGTGGGTTCGAGCCCCATGTCAGGCTCTGCGCTGACAGCACAGAGCCTGCATGGGATTCTCTCTCTCTCTCTTTCTCTGCCCCTCCCCCAGGTGCACACACGTGCACACACTGTCTCTCAAAATAAATAAACTTAAAAAGAAATAAAGACATGGCATTTTTATAAACTGTGAGATATCACCCCATTGGGAAGTCCCTTTTCTTTTTCTTTTTTATCATTTTCTTTTACTGTTTGGGAGAGAGCCATAGTTACCTATTGATTTGTCTCTAGGATTCAATCCTGGGAGAACACCAAAGTGACTCATCAAGAATATGTGAAAGATAAGATTTCATGGATGCTGTGTGTAGGAATTAGTTGCCACAAGGGGTAAAATGCAATATAAAGGCACCAAGGAAAGTGTCTTTTAGTTGGTAGTAAGGTAATAAGGAGTGGGCACCTGGCTGGCTTAGTCAGTAGAGCATGCAACTGTTGATCTCAGGGTTGCAAGTTCAAGTCCCATATTGGGTAAAGAGATTACTTAAGAATAAAAATCTTTACAAAAATATAAAAGGCAGGGTGACTTGGTGGCTCAGTTCAGTGTATGACTTTTGGTTTTGGCTCAGGTCATGATCCCAGTTGTGGGATCAAGCCTTGTTTCAGGCTCCATGCTGAGTGTGGAGCCTGCTTAAGATTCTCTCTCTCTCTCCCTGACTCAAAGGCTTTCTCTAAAATAAAACAAAACAAACAAAGTGCTGGAAGCTAATTGGATGATTAATTGACAGATTGAATTTTAAAAAAAAATTCAACATAACTCAAACATCTGTGGAAATATTCAAGCTGCTTGCGGCGCAGTCGCCAAGCTGCCTGACTTCAGTTGTCACGATTCAAGGGTCCTGGTGGAGGTTCCAGTTTTCGCCGTCGGGCTCTGTTGATGGTTAGAGCCTGGAGTTTGCCTTCTTCATTCCTGTAGCCTTTCCCTTCTCTGCCGCCTCAGCTCATGCCTGTCTCTCTGTCCCAAAAATAAATAAACGTTGAAAAAATAAATAAATAAATAAATAAATAAATAAAAATTAACTCAAAATGGATTATGGACATAAATGTAAAAAAAAAAAAGGTGATAAAGGAGAAAGTTTTCATATGGCCCATGAGTTTGAGAGGGAAGCAAGAAACCTACAAGCTGATGGGGACCTTTTGCAGCTACAGTCTCTTTTTATATTATTTATTTATTTTTAATTTTAATGTTTATTTGTTTTTGAGAGACAGGGAGAGCACAAGTGAGAGAGGGACAGAGAGAGGGAGACACAGAATCTGAAGCAGGCTTCAGGCTCTGAGCTGTCAGCACAGAGCCTGATGCAGGGCTCAAACTCACAAACCACGCAGATCAAGGACCTGACAGTCGCTTAGCCAACCGAGCCACCCAGGTGTCCCTATATATTATTTTCTATATATCAAAGAAACCTACCTGCCCTGTGCAGCTTAGTTTCCAGTGGGGCTGTAGGGGACCAATTGTAAGTGCACTATGGGTGCCATACTAGAAGCATGGAGGGCATTGACAGATCAGTGCTTTCGTCAACATCAGCTATTCTTTTTATTTATTTTTTAAAATTTATTCTTAACGTTTATTTATTATTGAGAGACAGAGAGAGGGCAAGGGAAGGTATGTAAGGCATGGGAGGGACAGAGAGAGCCACAGAATCGAAGCCCAGGCTCCACGCTCTAGGCTTATCCTTTACAAAGCCGGTGGGGCTCAAACTCACAAACTGCGAGATCATGATGTAAGCCAAAGTCGGATGCTCAACTGACTGAGTCAACCAGGCACCCCTCAGCTATTCTTTTTAAATTAATTAATTGATTGATTGTTTTTCATAATTAATTAATTTAAATTTATATCCAAGTTAGCATATAGTGCAATACTGATTTCAGAAGTAGATTCCAGTGATTCATCCAAACATGATGATGTTTGGAATATTTTCATATTTCAAAATTGTCTTGGCAACAGTTTTATACAATAGAGATCCCCATACACGTGCCAGCCTGGGGCAAAAACCAAATAAGAGTCGGGTGATTGGGTTTGGGCTCATATCCTGAGATGATTCTGATCTCCCAAAGACAGAGGATATTCCAGCTGAGGTACCCAAATGTGTTCCAAATGTCACAGAAGATCTAGCAGAACTGAAGACTAAAGATGGGCTTCATTATTGTGAGCAGGACCATCCTAAGGAGGGTTTGAGGCTGAGCCTAGACATGAGATCTCTCTTGCCCCAGCCCAACATTTTTATATATGTGAATATGGTTTATTTTTATTCTTATGTTTTAAAGTTCAAAGTTTTACTCTGAATTTGGACAAATGAGTGAATATGGTTTAAAAGATCAAGTACAGCTTAAAGTAAACACCAGGAACTAATAGATATAAGTATTAGAAGAATTGTACCCTTGTTCGTTCGTTCATTCATTCATTCATTCATTCAATATTTAGCATCCAATAGAGCCTGGGCTTCAGTGGGGAATATGAGATGAATACACCTCTCAGCTCTCAAGAACATGCATTCTATTTGGATAAACAATGTGTGAACATAGTTTTGTGCAGAATGTCCTGAGAGCCTATAGAGGCTGTTGGAACAAGCAGGCTTACATTTTTTGAGCAGAGAGAGGGATGGCAAAGCTCAAATTTGATTGTGAGAAGAAGGAGGAGGTACTGAAAGCAGAGAGCAGAGTCAGTGCAAAGCCATGAAGCTATGAAAGAAACTGACAGGCTCAGAGTATTGACATAAGTCACGTGTGGTTGGAAAACAGAATACAGGCATGAGAGCTAAGGCTGCAGAGAGCAGGGACAGATCATAAGGACTGTTACACATGCCAAGGAGCTTGACACTTAATGAATAGATAATGAGAAACAAACCACAAGAAAGCTTTAATTCCCAAAGTGCCACAATCATATTTGCATTTTTAATAGACCACTGAGAAAGCAGTGAGAACAATTATAAAAGGCAAGAGCAAAGGAAAGGGACTACTTGGAAGCCCATAGCGATAACTTGACACAACATGAAAGCATTTTCATTATCAAAAATTTAAATAATACAGAAGCTACTGCAGGAACTAACACATTATCCTACTAATGGATACTTCAGTGGTTTCTATTTTTTTATTATTATTAACTATGAATATGCTTGTACAGGGGTTCAGTAAATTGCTTATGAAAAAGATTACTTCTAAAAATGGTCTTTTAAAAACCTAGATGCCAGGGGTGCCTGGCTGGCTCAGTCAGAAGAGCATGCGACTGTGGATATTGGGGTCATGAGTTCAAGCCCCTCATTGGGTATAGAGATTTTTTTAAATAAATAAAATTAAAACAACAACAACAACAAAACTAGATATGCCCATCTTGTTGGCACAGCTAAATAGATTTTTGGAGCATTAAGGGATGGATAAGATAGTAAGATAACTCTAATATTACTTTACATCCAATTAATATCAGCCAAAGCATGACTGAGCCCAGGACTACAGAGAAAAATACTAGTCCATCAGAATCCAATCTGAGATAAAGTAGGACTCTTCACAGCTCTTGTTCTGGACTGAATGTTTTTGTCCCTCTAAAATTCATATGTTGAAAGCCTGACTCCCAATGTGACGGTATCAGGAGGTAGGGTCTTTGGGAGGTGATTAGGTCATGAGGGTACAGCTCTCATGAATGGGATTCATGTTCTTATAAAAGAGACTCCAGAGATCTCTCTTGGCCCTTCTGCCAAGTGAGGACACGGTGAGAAGATGGTTGCGTTTATGAACCAGGAAGCAGGTTCTCACTGGACACTGAATCTGCTAGTGCCTTGATCTTGGACTTCTAGGGTCCAGAACTGTGAGAAATATATGTTGTTTAAGCCACCCATTCTGCCATTTCCTCATTGCATCTGGGAGAGCAAGATGGATCACCAGCAGCTCTACTGGAGCCATCCGAGGAAATTTGGCCAGGATTCTCGTTCTTGCCTCGTCCACTCAAACCACGTCCACTCAAAGCACGGTCTGATCTGGAAATACAGCCTCAACAGGTGCTGCCAGTGTTTCCATCAGTACTAAAAGGATATAGGCTTCATTAAGTTGGATTAAATGACCTTCCTTGAATGGATCATCCAAGATACATACTTTAATTGCAATACCCAAGATAACCTGCCTTAATGCCAACTCATTGTACATAAAATAAAAATACTTCAATTATGACTATTTTGAAGTGAAAATAAAAAGCCACCCAGTCTATTATTTTATTACAGCAGCCCAAATGGGTTAAGGTAGTTCTCATGGATACACTTGGGAAGGCGAGGCACATGTGATGGAAATGTGATATATTTTTCCTATGAAGGCTTTCACCTAAAGAGGAATCTGGTGACCAAGAGGAGAAATCGGGCTAAGTGGAAACACCTCTCAGAGCAATGCAGCACATGAAGCTGATGGTCCAGGCAGCATCCAGGAGGCCATGTCCCACCAAATGACCACCACTGTGGTCGTTGGTTGGCTATAAGTGTTGGTCCTGGAAGGTCATTGACTTAAAACAAGGCCCTCCACTTTCCTCTCTCTGTGGCAGCTCTCTTACTGTGGTCATTTAATCATCAAAAAAACTGAAACCCTTACAAGGTCTGAGGTCAGATTTGTTTGGGGTCACGTCTCCCTTAGGTTTTGTACCAACTCCATCTCTCATAGATTGGTGTTAATTCTCTGCCTAAAGCCCTAGAGGGATGAAGGATCCCCAGTATCTCCCTTATAGATTCATCTTAGGGTCCCCCATACTTTCATAGTCAGGGATATACCCCAATATCTCCCATCTAAAGCTGAGCTTGATTTTCTTGGTTCAACTCTTTTTTTAAAAATTTTTTAAAATGTTTATTTATTTGAGAGAGAGAAGAGAGAGCACATGCACAAATGAGGAAGGGGCAGAGAGAGAGAGAGAGAATGAGAATCCTAAGCGGTCTCTGCAATGTCAGCGTAGAGTCTGACATGGGCCTCAAACCCACAAACCACGAAGTCATGTCCTGAGCTGAAATCAAGAGTCAGATGCCCAATCAACTGAGCCACCTAGGTGCCCCTCTTGGTTCCACTCTTAAAGACAAGGATAAGGACAGGAGTCAGCCATGATATTAGAGTTATGACATCATGGACTATGGGACTCAAGACCAGTATAGAAACTTTTGAATGTTGGACTAGACTAGAACTGTCTGTAGAGCTTCATATGTAGCAGGTTAGTATGTGCAGATTTAGTAATGGCTAGTTCTCCTGAGTAGTCACATAATTAAAAACGTCTCTTACCTGAGAAAAAAGATTCCTAAGAAGTATCATAAAACCATAGTGGGAGATCCATGTTTGTTTCAAACAACTACCAGCCATTACTTAAAGAAGATATCATTTCCTCCAATTTGCAGAAGAGAAAAGATCATGGGAAAGAATAGCATGCTCAAAGCAGATTCAGCCAAAGAGATTTTAATCTACCTGCAACAGGTCACTCTAATGCCCTCCCTTCTCATATCTCTTCTCTCGACTGATGGAGAAGAGCCTAGTCCTCTTCACTGTGTTCCAGTTGTCTGTTTCTCTTACCTCCCAATTGGAGATTTGGGACAGCAGAGACCACACTGTTTCAGCTCAGCAGCTGGTTTGTTGGATGAGTCTTTAAAATTTTAGGCTGGTAAGGGGCACCTGGGTGGCTCAGTCGGTTAAGCATCTGACTTTGCCTCAGAACATGATCTTGTGGTTTGTGGATTCAAGCCCCACGTTGGCCTCTGGGCTGACAGCTCAGAGCCTGGAGCCTGCTTTGGATTCTGTCTCTCTCTGTCTCTCTCTGTCTCTGTCTCTCTCCCCCTCTCAAAAATAAATAAACATAAAAAACTTTTTAAAAAATTAAGACTCATAGGGAAAAGCTGTAGACACAGGATTTCAGCCACATCTTTTATAACATCCTTTTGAAAGAAGTGTAGAAATACAAATAGGGTGAAAATGAAGATAATCCACCATACCCGAATTCTGACTGATGGGATCCATGTGAATCCAGAAGAAAAACTCTACTTAGGCTCCATCCTGGTTCAAAATTTTGCCCATGACTCGACTAAGTACAACAGTGACAACCTGATGAATCTGAAGCCAACATGAAACCAGAGAAGACAGTGAATAGAGGAGATACCGGAATCAGAATCCAAAGAGTGCTCAACAGGCTGGAACAACAGAGAGAATCTGGCAAGATGAAAGTGAACAGGAAAAAAAAGTCAAGTACACAGGCATTAGAGGAGAAGATGGGCTTTTTGTAGCACCCACGTAAAGGACTTAAGACGAGGTTAATGTATAAGAACAGAGAGATGTGCTACGATGATTAAAGGCTATAATTATAGAAGCATAATGTCAACAGTAAGGGAGGTGATTGACCTGATCTACTTTATACTGTCATGGCCACATCTACAACTTTACTTCTCAGGTTTTTGGCACACCCTGTAGGAAATATTTGTAAGAAAGCAAACATTAGGGTATGTACAGGACAGTAAAAGCACTTGAAATCACATCTTAAAAGGATTGGTCAAAGGAATTCAGAATTTTACCTAGAATCAAAAATTTTTATCTTAAAGAAAAAATACTGATGGTGACATGATTTCTGTCTTGAAATATCTGAAGCTCTGACATACAAATGTGAAATGAAGTTGGGCCGTTTGACAGGAACATTTTGGAAGGAAGGCATCCCTTAGAGAATGATAGAATAGATGATGCCCAAGGCCCTTCCAGTTCAGAGAGGCTGCAGCCTTGTCCCTCTGGCATGTCACAGGACTCCTATGTGTCTTATATCCTCATGTATAAAATGATCTCCAAGCAGAGCTTTGATGTCCAAACTCTTTTCTTGCTCTGATTAGACTGTGTTTTTGTATCTCTTTTTCTTTGAAATTTCCCACAAGGCTGGGTACAGATGGGAGTTAATACATTCTTGTTCATGGCTACCTAGTTCCATTAAATGACAGCATGTGCTGCTCCAGGAAAGGCTATGTGAGGAGAGAGAACCTGCTGTTATGGTCAAATTGTATCCCTCCAAAATTCATAGGTTGAAGTCCTAACCCCCC